ATTGCCTCCGCTCATTTGTATTTTCAAGTATAAAAGAAGAGGATTAGCAGACAGGGACAGGATATTGTCCCTTGAACTGGCACTGGGAGTCAGGCCATTTCCTGACATTGTGATCTGTCTCCTGGCTCCTGTTATTTTCCTGCACACAGTTGGAATCTGGTTGCAATAGAGCTGCTGCTTCCAATTCAGGTCTAAGTTCACTCTTGAGCCTTTTAACCTGCCACCCTTGGCATCCGCCTGCCTTCCTTCCGGAATTGGAAGCAGCAGGCCTACTATAACCAGATTCCAACTGTGTGCAGGAAAATAACAGGAGCCAGGAGTCAGATCACAATGTCAGGAAATGGCCTGACTCCCAGTGCCAGTTCAAGGGACAATATCCTGTCCCTGTCAGCTAATCCCCCTTTTATATTTGGAAATGCAAATGATTGTTAGCCCTCACCCAGCCACGCCCCCTCTATATCCCCATGCCCTCTCCATACCACCTGACTCCTATGTACCCCTAATCCCACAACCCATTTACATAGTATGCACAATGTACTGAACTCATGAGGCCAAAGATAACACTGGGAAGTCTGAGAGATGCTCATCAGACTGTCAATATAAACAAATATCCATTCAAACCTTACCTCTTCTGGACAATATTTTCAAACCTATCTTTCAATGTGACATCACGTTAACACTTGAATATTAATGTAACCCAGCAAAACAAAATAGCAAATAAAGCAGCACTGACATTCAGTATATAATTATTAATGTTTGTGTGTTATGGATCAGTCTGTCTTTCCTGCCATCCTCACTCCTGAGGATTCAGTTATATATTTCCATTGGATAGGTTTATGCTTATGGGCAAAATGCCCAGTTCTTTGTCATTTCCTTCAGCAGGATGTCAGGCCGGGTGATTCTCTCCTGTTCTTCCTGCCCACCATCAGGTCTAATAGAAGAATTTACAGGCTGACTATATCAACCTGTTTGGCCACATTACCAATGCACCTTCCAACAAGTCCTGGCACTGGACTCAAATCCAGAGTCAGTGTCATAAGATTTCATGTGTACATCATATACACATGAACATTTGTGTGTTTAGTAACAGTTCAAAATTATTACCTTATGTACACATTTAGAGTGCAGCTGATATTTCTATATTCCCCGAGTACAGAAGACTCAGTGAAGTCATCCTGCCCCTCAACAAATACCCACCCACTCCTTTACCTAAGCCCTTCCCCGACACCAGTCCTGCTTTCCAAGTCCCTCCCTCACATATTCACTCAGTAAGCAGCCTCTCCTTCTAACCCACATGTCCCACTCAACTCATTCAGCAGACTCTCTTCCCAACCACCTTCCCAGCACTCACTCACCAGTCCTCCTTCCCTACCCCATCTCTGCTATGGATCTAGCTGTTGATGTCTAGAAAATAGATTCACTATCCTGGTGTAATGAGCCTATACAGCAGGTAGACAGGAATAGAAACATAATAAAAAGTTTGAAGCCAGCACCCAGCTTAGCTGCACAAAATCCCATTTTACTAGACTTTGCCTACACAAAGGCAACACACAAATATCCTGGGCCTTCTTGAACTCATCTTTAAACGTGATCTCTGATGTTTAAGGGCACTTTGGGCTCACTGTCCACCCCGATACTGTTTGGCGGCATTGATCTGCTTTCTCATTTGAGCCTTTGGGCTGGTTCCTCTCCTCTTCAAGGTTGCCATTGCTGCCTTAGAGAAGAGGTAAGTTATGGCCCCAAATGTGATATCTGTGACCTCATTTAGGATCATGCCTCACAGTTTAGGAGCCCCAGCATTAGCGCTTTGTTGTTAATCTAGTCAAAAATTCATAATGAGATTCCATTGCACAACTAGACCAACAAAACAACCAGAGCCATATTCCTAAAGTCTTTGACATCTTCACTATCTGTTCAGACAATTTGAATCAAAGAACACAGCCACCTGTTTAGCTTTTTCAAAGATTCAGTAAATGGTTAGATTGTGAGTCAATGCAAAGATCAAAGCACAGGGTCCAGGTGATAAGTTAAAATTTAATATTCCATATAGTGAAATGAAAAGAAGTCCTTTATCAACTGGTTAAAGTTCTCCAATGAATCTGAACATATTCACAATTCTGGTCAATTTAATGGCTATTTACCTTGTAAGGGCACAATTCTGTCATCAATCACTACATTAAAACATATCATATAGCGTTCTAATTTTGACATTTGAAGTTGGCAACACCTTTCTAAATTTACCTGTCCAAAGTTCTAACTTCTAAAATAGCTTCTCCCTTGGTTCACAAACTTGTTGACCTGACATGGTGCATCCAGGTTTCAGAAACCCACCCTGCTTGCTAAATCTTAGCTCCATTTAAATTGAGGTAGCTATTAATATGGAAGAATGGAGCGCATCAAATTGCGCATTATTCTGGCAAAAATATCTGGCCTGGGAGTCAGTAGGTGAAAGCTTGCAGAGTGGTAATAAGTTGGATAGGAAGCTAAAAGACATTGGCTATTTGCATAATGCATGTTCGGCATCAATGTAGGTAGCTTGACAGGGATGGACAAGGAAGACCTGAATGAGCAGAACTTGGCCAGGAACAGAAACACCAAATATTTATCAAAATCTTAACAAATAAAAGTATTATCAGATTTTCGGAGCTTCAATGGCTTCTGATTACATTGCAGTTTGAAACAAAAAGTAAGATATTAAAAATAGCCTGCCTTTATAATGACAATGTTAGCTGCAGTTTTTGGATTCTGGGACACTTCTGGAACCTGGGACTTTGCAGGTTTAAGGTCTATTTAGTGCCTAATAATATCATGCATTGGAAAATGCAGACAGGAAACACAGAACAATTGGTGTCTATTTTCTAATTGTGTAAACACCTCCACAAGCCCCTTGACTGCACATATACCACAAAGGTAATTCAGGATGAGCAATAAATGCTCATTTATTGAGTGAAGCCCACATCCCAATAATAAATATTAAAAATACAACTCTTGGTACAAACAGTCTTTGAGAAGCACTCCAACTCCTCAACATCTTTTCTCAGCAATCACTTCAGGGGAAGACCTGATTCAACACTTTTTAATCTTGAATGAATTCCACTCATGAAATACTCATTGGAAACCGACTGCCAGTCAAATTGGCTATCCCCTCTGTTAAAGGCCTTTCCTGCTGTGCAGGCTTCCAAAGATCAATTCTTTGATGATGCATTCATGCCTCATTAAAATTAAAAATAAATATTGGCAATTAAAAAGCAGCCAGCAGCTTTTGTCTGACAAGAAATAAAATAAAGAACTGTAGATGTTGGAGATCTGGAATAAAAACGGATATTGCTGGAGAAACTGGAGTTTATATCATTGTAATGTTTTGGGACTCTCTCTTTTACTTTGGATAAAGTAGAAATAAGTGGGATCATAGAACTCGCTCTAATTCTACCTGACAATGCTTTGGATAGCTTATTTGTTAAAAGTTAAAGGTAAGGTGGGGCCTTACAGGACTTTTCTCTTGGTTGGGGTGGGGTTGGGGGGGAGGAGGTGGTGGGGAGTGGTGGTCCAAATTACCTTACTGGGAATAAGGTGCAAGATGTTCATATCTGTTGATAATGACATGGGCATCTGTGCTGTGTCTAGGCAGATTGGTCATATCCAAGTCTCTTTTAATTTTAAAATGTCAGGTTTAGTCAATATTTTTATCTTTCTATCTACAGAATGGAATTGAGATCTAGAGGATAGAGAATTAGCACTTCTATATGGATACAAGGCCCATGTGATTCACATCACATTGGAGTGCATGTTAGTAAAAGTCAGTAGAAACCACTGAAGTGTTGAGATGCAGATTTCTTGAGGTACCCCTGAATTGCATGAACACGTCATTCTGTCAGAATTTAAAAAATGAGTGAGAGGGAACAATGCAAGCAGTCAATCCTGCATCTGAGGCAGAGAAAATGCTGGACCAATAATTTATAGCTTCCATCAGTGGTGGGTTGCCATGACTTTCCACTCTCAGGGGCAGGGGAAGGAGGTGGGCAAGAGTTCGACCTTAGCCAGAATGGGAATCAAACCCACATTGTCGGCATTGTTCTAAACCATACACTAGCCATCCAGTCAACTGGGCTAACCAGACCCTATTTCACATAAAGAAATTGGAAAAGAAAATCAGACAGAATTCAAACTGGCTGCTGGTTTCCCATCTCCCATTTTATGCAATTTCATTGATCTTGTGCCTTTAAGTAATTAGCTGTTGCACTTTATATTTCACTGCAGCATTTAAAACTCCTCCCCTCAAATGAATCTCAGATGCACACTCATTGTATGCACCAAAATCTATATTACATACATCTGGTCTGGTAGAAGCAGGCATCGGCTTGGGACCTGCATGCAGTTCAGACACCCAAAAAGGAAATTCAGTCCATGTGTCCAAATTCGCCAAATGCGGGCCTAATCAACATTTTGTAAATTAAATCTTTAGTCTCTTTCTAGGCGACAGCTTACATCTGCAAAAGGCATATATTTTGACCATTTTGATTCCTGGGATGGCAGGACTTACGTATAAGAAGAGATTGAGTAGGTTAGGATTATATTCACTAGAGTCTAGAGGAATGGTGTGCAGCGGAGGGTGGGAGGAGGGGTGTCTCACAGAAACCTATAAAAATCTAATAGGACTAGACAGGTTAGATGCAGGAAGGATGTTCCCGCAGGTGGAGGAAATCAGAATCAAATGTCATAGTTTAAGGATAAAGGACTGAAACGAGAAGAAATTTCTTCACCCAGAGAGTGGTGTACCTGTGGAATTCACTACGACAGAAAGTGGTTGAAGCCAAAACATTGTGTTTTCAAGATAGTGGCAGATAGGATAATGGGATACGGGGCTGGGGTTGGGAAGGGCAGGATTGGGCCATTGAGCTTGATGATCAGCCATAATCATAATGAGTGGTGCAGCAAGCCTGAGGGCTCCAAATGGCCTACTCCCACCTTCTATGTTTCTACATTGAGAAAGAGAATCTTACCCCATATCGTCCATTATACAACCAGACCAGGCATCGGGGCACCAACACTCACCTGTGAAAGGAATACAGGAAATGTATTAGTGAAATGCAATGAATGGTTGGAACCTATAGCAATACCTTGTGAGAAACATAGTTACCAACTCATCTGTGAAAATCCTACTTTGCAAAGATTACGATCGAGAAGTTCAATGGCGCAGCATCAATGCTTCAGGCACTAAATGGATGCCCAGTTCTCCAACATGATGGTCAGGAATGCTGTTCACTAGAAGGCAAAAATTTGCTGCCCAACATAATAGCGTGAGGAGAAAGACAGAAGTCAACTTGAATTTAGGTTTTTTGCATTGAGGGTGGGCCATGGTAAATAGATTTCTGGTACAAAACTGAGTAAAGAAAAGGATCACCTGCCTGACACAATATAATTGTTTGGAAATGTAACTCACCTTTGAAATAACTTAGCGATTGAACAGTGGGAGAATACAAAAAAGAATTTGACAAGTTTCTCACTCAAGCAGAATTCTCCATCTTTCTGTGGATACATCCAAAGCTCAACTATATTTGCCCAAATCTGTTCCACCTTTAAATCAGAAGATGGCTAACAGAAATAAATGATAAATAAACTTACAAAAGGTTTAGAATGGACTAGGTTGAATCAAAGGAAGTAAAAGTAAAACTCATTTAATTAATATCTTAAAGGAATGAGGTCATCTGGAGTCAGCTGAAGAACAAAGAGATGGAGGAACAAAAAGATAAGAGACTTAAAAGAGCTGAATTTCCTTCTCGGATACACCAGTAAATCAGGGTGGGTGAGACAGTAAACCAGGCAAGTGTCAATTCTACAAGCTCCTCCAACCCTCAATTAAAAAAAAACAAAGAACTGCGGATGCTGGAAATCAGGAATTACAAACAGAAATTACTGGAAAAACTCAGCAGGCATGGCAGCATCTGTGGACAGAAAGCAAAATTAGCGTTTCAGGTCCAGTGAATCTTCTCCAGTCTTAATACCTTCAAGAATATCACTCCAGAAGTGACACACAAAATGACCAGCAAGATATGAATAGGTCTAATGCAATTGAAAACAAATGGTGGAAATACACACAGCATTAACCAGTTGTTCTGCAGCAGCGCACTGGGCTCGTCAGCACTTTCTTGGAATCCAGGATTACAGTGTTACTACTGGGGTGCGGGGGTTTAAATTTGAAAAGGTCAACCTGTCTTAAAAGTTAATATAAGTTGCTTTTAGAGTGAACTGATTATACCAAGCAAGATGGGAAATTAAAAAAAGGAAACTTTGCAGCCTGTGACACTAAGTCATCAGCATTCGTAGTCCATCCTTAAAAATCCTTGAGAAGGTGGTGCTGAGCTACCTTCTTGAATCATTGCAGTCCATGTACTATAGGTTGACCCATTATGCCCTTAGGGAGAGAATTCCAGGATTTTGGTCCAGCGACAGTAAAGACACAGTGATATATTTCCAAGTCAGGATGGTGAGCGGCTTGCAGGGGAACTTGTGGTTAGTGATACTCCTATGCATCTGCTGCCTTTGTCCTTCTCGATGATAGTAGTTGTGGGTTTGGCAGATGCTGTCCAAGGAGCTTTGCTGAGTTTTTGTAGTGATCCTTGTAGATCATACACATTGCTGCTATGGAGCATCAGTGGTGGAGGGAGCAGATGTTTGTAGATGTGGTACCAAACAAGTGGGCAGCTTTGTCCTGGATGGTGTCAAGCTTCTTGAGTGTTGTTGGAGCTGCACCCATCCAGGCAAGTGGGGGGCATTCCATCACACTCCTGACTTATGCCTCGTAAATGGTGGACAGGTCTTGGGGAGTCAGGAGGCATGTTACTTGCGGTAGCTTTTCCAGACCCTGAGCTGTTTTTTTTTGACTCATTAACAGGATGTGGCCATCACTAGGCCAGGCAGCATTTATTGCCCATCCCTAATTCTTAGGGGGCAGTTAAGAATCAACAACATTGCTGTGGGTCTGGAGTTGCATGCAGGCCAGACCAGGTAAGAATGCCAGTTTCCTTCCCTGAAGGACATTAGTGAACCAGATGGGTTTTTCCAATAATTGACAATGGATTCACGGTCATCATTAGATTCTTAATTCCGGATGATTTTTTTTATTGACTTCAAATTCCACCATCTGCCATGGTGGGATTCGAACCTAGGTCCCCAGAACATTATCTGAGTTTCTGGATTAACAGTCCAACGATAATACCACTAGGCCATCGCCTCGCATTCATGACCAGTACTTAGATGGCTGGTCCAGTTCAATTTCTGGTCAGTTTCTGACTGTGGGGGATTCAGTGATGGTAACACCATTGAATATCAAGGGGTGACGGTGTCTTATTGGAAATGGTTATTACTTGACATTGTGAGATGCAATCATTATTTGCTAGTGGTCAGCCAAAGCCTGGATATACCTGCTGCATCTGGACATGGACTGCTTCATTATCTGAGGAGTCACGAAAGGTGCTGAACATTGTGCAACTGACCTTATTAATGAAGCAGCTGAAGATGGTTGGGGCCAGTACAACCCTGAGGAACTCCTGCAGAGATTTCCTGGAGCTGAGATGACTGGCCTCCAACAATCAGAACCATCTTCCTTTGTGCTAGGTACAACTCCAACCAGTGGGGAGTCTTCCCTCTGGTTCCCATTGATTAGTTTTGTTAGGGCTCCTTGATGTCACACACAATCAAATGCAACCTTGATCTTAGGGTAGTCACTTTCTCTTAACTTCTGGAATTCGGCTCGTTTGTCAAAGTTTTAACTAAAGCTGTAACTATGTCAGGAGCTGTGTGGCCCTGACAGAAACCAAATTGGACATCACTGAGCAGGTGCTGCTTGTTAGCACTGTTGACAACACCTTCCATCACTTTACTGATGATGGAGAGTAGACTGATGGGACAGTAATTGAATAATTTGGATTGTTGTGTTTCTTGTGTATAGGACATACTTGAGCAATTTTTCCACATTTTTAGGTATATTCCAATGATGAAGCTGTGCTAGAACAGCTTGGCATAGGGGTATGGCAATTTGGGAGCACAAATATTCAGTACTATTGCCAGAATGTTGTCAGTGCCCATAGCCTCTGTAGCATCCAGTGCCTCCAACTGTTTCTTGATATCACGTGGAGTGAATTGAATTGACTGAAGACTAGCATCTACGATGCTGTGGACCACTGGAGGAGGCCGAAATGGATCACTGAATTGGCACTCTTGGCGAAAGTGAATATCACTGCTTCAAACCTAGTCTTTTACACTCATGTACTGGGCTTCTCCATTATTGAGGATGGGGATGTTTAAGGAGCCTCCTCTTCCAGTGAATTGTTTAATTGTCTGCCACCTTTCATATCTGTGGCAGGACTGCAGAGTTTTAGATTTGGTTGTCGAAGTCTATCACTTACTAATTGTGCTGTTTGACATGCAAGGAGCCCTGCTTTGTAGCTTCACCCAGGTGACACTTCATTTTAATATATGAATGATGCTGCTCCTGGCACGCCATCCTGCACTCTCAGTTGAATTAGTGTTGATTATAAGGTTGGAATGCGAATAGGCCATGAGGCTGCAGATTGCGTTGGAGTACAATCTTGCTCTGATGACCCACAATGCCTCAAGGGTGACCACTGAACCAGACAGGTTCACTTACAATTGAGAACAATACTATTCTGATACTTTCGTATCCTTAGCACTGAAATATTGGCATTGTTTTCAGCGCTAGCGTGTGAGCTCGAACCGTACAAATTGTGGAACATTGCTGCACTTTATATTATAAGAGTAAAATGCTTTACTCAGTCTCTAACCATGATATGTCTCTGCTTGGAGCACCTAATGCTCGACGTAAGTATCAGAATTTGATAGTGTTCTGTCTCCAAGCACTAATAAATATACATAGTGTCTGTTTCCACACTGTATAACTCTATGACTCAGAAAAGTTAAGGTACAAAGTGGACTAGCTTACACTGCCACCTGGAGGTCAGACACAGATAAATGTCAGGTTGGCTCTGACCTGCGAATATGACTCAGGTTCAAGGTGGTACTGAAACAGAATCATTGCAGGACAGATTGCTTGGCTCTTAAGTACAAGGTTCATGAATCTGGTAAATATGTTGTATAATTCAGCTAGTTTCTATCATTCTTGGGATGTGTACAGCTGGCTATGATATACTGAATATTTATAAAATCTTTTCTCTAATGCATTGTTAGAGTTTATAACATGCTGTCAGTAATAACTGCCACACAGTGAAGGGTCTATGGTTGGTTTGTTGAATAACATATTGGGTTTGAAGAAGAAATAAAGAACTGTTGTCAATCCAGTTAATGGCAGTGGGGTATAATGAATAAAGTGCAGGCACTTGAGGAATTCTCATTTCAAACATGAGAGCAAGGAAGAATGAGAGTGAGTAAGAGTAAAAGAGCATGTGTGTGAGCAATAACAAGGGAAATTTATATTAATGATGATTATCTTACTCCGATTCAAATAGGAAGAAGCAAAAGATAATAGCTTCCAAAATGATGAAAGGTAATGCATATCCTATTTGGCATGAATAAATGTACTGAACCTGTAATATGCTATTAATGAGCTTACATAAATGGACTTAGCAATATTTATATTTTGCATAAGCCATCCATGTTAAGCACTGTTATTGTTTACAGTTGGGAGCATTTGTTGCATGATAAAAGCTTTACGGCTAGAAATATTGAACCAAATTTGGTCCAACTTTGGTCTAACTAACTTTGTCCCTTTTGAAAGGTGACTGCATCCAGAGGGTTCACACAGTTATCCCCAACACTGCAACCCCCTGCTTCAAACTCCACTACCTGCAGTACATGGAGATGAGACATTGCACAATGGAAGGAAGGAAAGCCAGAAACCCAGTCTACTTTCACTCATCAAAATACAACCATCCAAAGAGGCAGTGGAAAACATAGACAAGGCCTTGATAAATAAGAAAGATTTATAATTGCAAAGTAAGGCTGTTACTCAACCAAGGCACTTTAACTAAAATCACACTTTATCAAGTAATCACCTCAGTCATATGCAAGACAAATTATTCCTGGCCTTACAGGACTTTGACATATGTTAGGCATCTGAACCATTTATTGTCTACCCTCCACCCTATAAAGGAAATGAAAGAGGAAAGAGGTACCATCTTTGGAATTCCACGAATATGCCAACTTTGTCTGAGTACTGGATGCAACAAAATTACCTGAAGATTCAAAGGAGGAGTGTGTTCCAAGGTTGAGAATGGCCAACCAGCAACTTAAAAAATAAGAAATTGCTGAAGGGATTGTTCAGGTTGGAATTAATGTACGTCGCTATAAAGAAACATTTTCTGAAACATTAAAATGCCAAGACAGCTTAATCTGCAATATTTCTGTTCCAGTAGCTACTTGCACTCTGCTTTATGCAAGGGATTGCTCAATGTGTATAGAATTCAATTTAAATAACTTACGTGCTCCTGCATGATGTTTATTCCACATCATTCCAAGGTTTTGACCCAAACTCTGAGCAAGTGCGACAGCCATTGTACCCAAATTTCCATACTAAACAAAAAACAAAGTAAGAAGCTTCAGTTCATTACTGAGGACATTTTTTTTCACTAAGCAGCTAATTATTCATCTTCTGTATAATATTACTTTTCACACATCCAAGAATTGTGAAGTATCTATTTGGTCACTTGTTAAGGAGTGGAATTAACTCCTTTAGGGAACAGCTAATACTAGAACACACTCAGCTTTACAAAAACACAAAACAGGAGCCATCCCAACCACCTCATAAAAATGTCTGTATTATTAATTCAGGTGAGTAAATTCATAGTTACACATCTAATACTTCATTGCATTGTGAACAATGCAATGTGCAGACCTTTGTGCGATGATACAGCACATTAGAAATTTTAACCCTGTGGTCTTGGGTAGGGATTTCCCAATGAGTTCCCAGTTCTAACCCAGGGACATTGAAGTTTGTCTGTAATGTCAAAAGACGTTTCTTTCCTGGTGTTTTGGAAATGCAAAGATTGGATGGCAATTTGCTCCTGCTCCTCCTACTCTACTTCGGGAAAGAACTGCTTATACATGCATTTCAGGGAGTGGAGTGGTTGGAGTGGAAGCAGCTCCAAGCTGTTGTTTCACAACTTAAGCTCCCAATTACCTTCTCCTCTCTATTACTCCATAAAACTAAATTGGTGGGTGGCAGTGCTAAAGAATGGGATATTCTTCTATATTTCTTTTCTACCAGTCATACCTAAACCATGAGATCTGCTGAAAGCAAAATGTAGGCTCCTTGCACCCCATTCATTCAACAGGTCCTCATTCCAACTTGGGAAGAGCTCAGAACATTTACTGTGTGAAACAAAATAGAAATTACTGGTGAAACTCAGTAGGTCTGGCAGCATCTGTGGGAAGAAAGCAGAGTTAATGCTTCGAGTCTGGTTACTCTTCATCAGAACTCCATCAGATAAAATGAAGTATCACCAGACATGAAGTGCTTTCTTACCACAGATGGTGCCAAATCTGCTGAGTTTCACCAGTGATTTCTGTTTTTATTTCAGATCTCCAGCATCTGTAGTTCTGTGTTTTAATTTATTGTGCAAAGCTTTTTCAACAGCCAAGATGACCACCTTTACCACTTCCTGGCTGAGACTACCAGCTCAACGAAGATTATAGATGGCTTGGTGTTACTATAGGAACTAGGCTAAGTCTAGCCAAACTTGCTCCGTTCACTGAACAGACAATTTTAATGCAGGATCCTGGCTTTTATTTAATGCTCAACAACTGCCCTGATATGTTCTTGGAACAACTGACTCAAAAGGAAACTGGGGAAAAAGACAGATGATCTTACATGCACAAGGTGAACCTCAGTCAGCACTTTTAATGGGATTTAAGTGTTTTGTCTACCGCTTTCTACGAATTATCAGGAATCTTCAAGACATTCTGAGAAGCACATGTGCAGCAGGTTAAGCTAAAACTGAGCACGTCCCTCACTTCCATGACAATCCAGCCAGGATTAGCCATCTAATGCTGGTCCGGTTTGCCAAACCTTGGATATTGGAGCAAATGAAAGGAGGTGAGAATGGCTGAATCCATGATTTAGGTGCTTTAATGACAATGCTCGTGGAACAAAAAGAGCAGCGCTGCATTCCACAATGACTTAGTTCATCGCTTAAGTAAGCAGTTATTGATCGACTGTTATCTTGCCCACACCACTTGATGTTTTATCTCCCCATTCCTCAGTCTTGCTGTCAGGCAGGAAACCTGTTGAGACAATTCAAAACTGATCCCCTCCCCACTAAATTCAACAAGGCTGGTGGGAAGCCCTTGTTTTCTGCTTCATCATCTGAACGTCTATCACACATACCTGACATGGCACTCTTTTCCCAGCTCCAAGCTATTGTCAGGGCCATTGTTTCTGCACCACAAATGCCTGCACAGTCAGTTTTCTACCTCTCACAGGCACAGCCAGTGACAACAATGGGCTGATGGTTATAATGGCTAATTAGAAGTATCAATAAATACATTTTGAGTGCACTGAATACATCTCTGCAAGACACATCATTCATCTATTGTCACCATGCAGTAAGGGGGAAACTCACGATCCTTTTGAAATAAATGCAAGTCAAGGGCTTTTTTGATCAGTTGTATTTACATTTAGACCCCTTCAGCAGTTCGTGCAGACCCTATTTAGGACAAAGCAGCCCACTTGATTGGCACCACATCCTCAAACATTCATTCCCTCCACAACCGACGCTCAGTAGCAGCAGTGCGTTACTATCCACAAGAGGCATTGCAGAAATTCACCAAAGATCCTCAGACAGCACGTTCTAAACCCACTTCTGTCTAGGAGTACAAGGGAAGTAGATACATGGCAACACCACCATCTGCAAGTTCCCCTCCAAGCCATTCACCATCCTGACTTGGAAATATATCTCCATACCTTCAAAATCCTAGAAATCCCTCTCTAAGGGTGTTGTGGATCTACCTACAGCAGTGTATTGCAACAGTTTTAGAAGGCAGCTCACCACCACCTTCTCAAGGGGCAATTAGGGACAGGCAATAAACGCTGGCCAGACAGTGATGCACCTGTCCCACGCGTGAAGAAAAAAATGTTTGGGTTGTGGCACAATTGTTAAATGTCAACATGAACAGATCCAAAACACTGTAAACACTTAGTGCGTTGATAATACCCTGCGGAAACTAAATTGTGTCTTCACAACTGGGCAGCAATATCCATGCCCCTCCCCTGAGCAGATTCCGTACAGCACAGTTGACCTGCTTCATCAGTTTAGCACAAAGACGACCTTGTCCCACCCTTTTGGGCCCCTCTTGCCCTTGTTGCACCCAGTGTTGAAATTAATCCATTCCCTGATGTGTCAACCGAGACATCAGCAATGCATTACTGATCCTTGCATGAAAAGATTCTGTGATGAGAAGGTTAGCATTTGGTGCCTGTTTTACTGTTAGATGATGATGCAACAGATTGTAACAGAGGAGTCAAGAGTAAACAGAAATCACATTTTCATGACGTATAAAAACAAGGGTGGGATGTCACTTATGTTAAAATGGATAGGGGAAGGAGGATACAGACAAAACTGCCAAGACAAGGGACAGGTCAATAAAACAACGAACCTCGTTAATCCCTCCTGCTTTTGATAAAGAGCACATTCCTCCAATGTAGGCTGTTGCGCTGTGACTACACTCAAATGTCCGGCCTCTGTGGAAGAGAAAACCAGATACCAAAATCAAACTGGAAACAGGTCATTCCCACACTTGGGCTTTTCTCATGAAAATTGTCTTATAATCCATTACATTCTCATTTCCGGAATGCACTTCTCTTTGAAAACCTGCTTGAAAGGTTAAATTAGATATACTCTACTTTCTAAACTAAGCTTATATGACAATAGGCTAATTAGTCTTCCGCCTCCTGCTGTATTGGGACCAAATTATGAGAAAATTTACTGCTGCTGTAAACCCTCCATTTTAAGGTCTATTTAAACAGTCTTACTTAATTCTTAATGCCACCAATGACACTTTATGTATGTCCTGGGTTACAATGCAAACCCATCTTGTGGCAATAAATAGAACTCACTTGCAAATCTGATTTTGACTTAGCAACACTGAAGGAAGAGTTTCCTCAGAGCAGATTGGAGGGGAATTTGCATGTGGACAGGCTTTGGGGAATCAGGAAATTAAAGAGTGGCGAGGGTGGGATGCGGGTTTTAAGTTGGTATTAATTGGCAAATCAATGGGCCCATGGATGAGTGTGCCAACTGGCAGCTCCACTGGCCCCCTTTAAAACAGAGGGAGGTTGGCAGCAAGTCACATGCTATGATTTAAGAGCCCTTCCACTTTCAAACATGCTGGCAGAAGGCTGCAAAATCCTGCTCAATGCGTCATAAAATAGCTCTAACTATTCTAAAGTCAATAAAGAACAGTCACCATCAGAAAGGATTATCATTACAGAGATTAAAATTTTAATTTGAACAACAAGAACAGGCAATAAATGTAGGTCCTGCCAGTAACGTCCACATCTCTTGATTGAAGAGCTTGTAATAACCAATCTCAGCAATGTGTCCGCTATTGACAGACACTCAACTCCACAGGCACAAGGTTGCTGAATAAAAGAATTGAGGCAACATGGAACTATTTCTCAGTCCATACATACAAGGATTGTAATGATCACAACGTATTTTACGTACAGGCTAACTGTCATTATCATTCAGAAGAAAATTGTTGTCTCTGTGGTAAAATGGTACAACAGTTAAGGGGAAATGACCTGGCTTTGATTTGAATACTTATTGTGATGGGCTACATTTATATGGCCCAAGTATGAACCCAAACCGAAACTGCTAAAATGAAAAGAAACAATGGGATGATTTCAAATCTGTCTTGGCCCCAAAGCCAGATATTTACTTTGCGTTTGCATTTGAAAAGTTGGCCAAGTTTGCTCTTTTCAAAATTGCTCCCCTGGGAGAGAAAACACGGTCTTCCTGATCTTTCAGTGTTGAGGAAGAGGTCCTGCTTTTTTTCCCCCCACATTATACCACCATCACTAAGTACCCCTCTAAGTCAGACACCATGCTACCAAAATCTTGGAACTTGTGCCTTAACAGAACAGTGGGTTTACCTACACTGCAGCACTCCATCTAACCATCATCTGCTCAAGGACAATTAGGAACAGGTAACAAATGCTGGCCGTGCTTGTAATGTTCAGATCCCATGCACAAATAAATTAAGAATTCCTCTCAGGTTAGTCAATGTCAGCACTTGAAAATGCATCTTTAAAAAGTTTATCTCCAACTTGTCATGTGGGGATGAACAGCAGATAGAATCATAGACTCCCTCCAGTGTGGAAACAGGCCATTCGGTCCTTCAAGTCCACACTGATTCTCTGAACAGTATCCCACCCAGACTCACGCCCTACCCTATAACTCTGTATTTCCCATGGCTAATTCACCTAACTTGCACACTGTGGGCAATTTAGCACAGCCAATCCAACTAACCTGCACATCTTTGGACCGTGGGAGGAAACCAATGCACCCGGAGGAAACACACACAGACTCAGGGAGAACGTGCAAACTCCACACATACAGCTACCCCGAGGCTGGAACTGAACCTAGATCCCTGGCGCTGTGAGGCAGCAGTGCTAACCACTGTGCCACCATGCCGAGATCCTTTCATCCTAACAGGTCAGCGCACAGAAGACTCAGCTTTGATAACCAATTTAACCAGATTTCAATTGACTGCCAAATGTTCTTCAGATTTGTGCTTATCTATAGCAATAATGAAATTTTCTAAGTAGTAGTTCACAGGAATGCATGACTGTTTTGATTAATATTCACAACAGTCTTTGCCCACTGTGATTATTAGTGCTGTGAAAGAAGAGGCAGAACAGTAGAAGCCAGGAAGCAGTGTGTGACCGACTGTTAAGCAGAGCTTCTGTTTCTTTTAAAGCTCTGTTATAATTAGCTAATGCATTGGCATCTTTGAACTCTCTTCTTTCCGGATACGAATTGTAGGCCATTAAGTAGGCTCCCTTATATGTAATGCAGTTTCAAAGGAAACATAGCTTTTATGATTAATCAAAGTGCTATAATGCAGATCCATCTCACATAGCATCACTAGAAATTAATCAGATGGAAGGCAGACTGCAGTAGTGTATTCTATTTCTTACTGATCTTTGGAGGTAAAGATGACCACATTCATATCTGGCATTGCAAGATTTTGATAATACAATTAATAATATAAGGTTCTATGTTAGTTTAATGTAATAGTTTCTGAAATGTCTTAGCTTTTTTTATAAACACAGTTTAGTTTGAGTATCTGCTAGGGAGACAATTGACAGTTAAGGCAATTGCTTTTGAAATATTGGTCTCGCTGGCCTAAATTGGTTTAAAGATGCCAAACAGTCTGGCAACAAGCAATTTTCCTGCTTGATTGCTATAGGTGTGAGGCCTGTTTATCAGCTTTAAAGAAATAAGTAAAAAATTGAACCCAACAGCTGAAACGGAGTATGACACCTTGTTTTTTTATACAGTTTACTGACTGTCATGATCTCTCCAATGTGTGTGTAGGACAAAACATCTATGTATAACTTAAGAGGACATCCTGATATTCTGTTAGGAACTTGTTCTTAATTGCCTTAGAGTATTTATGGGAATGTTTTGGTGAAGTACTAATAATAATTGGTATTATTGATACCAATAATTGCACAACTGCTCAGCATTTGTTCACACAATGAAACGTAACTTCTGAGGTCTAAGATAATAGAATCTGACATTAATTTAGACTACATGACTATAGTTAATCAGACTATAGTTAATCTGACATTAACTTAGACTACATGACTATAGTTCCAGAGGTCAGGTGACACCTGGTCACGTTGACCTGAAGTTAATGAAAGGACAGAATTCAGACTATTTCCTATGAATGGATGAGAAAATCTTCAATCTTTAAGGATAAGGATCGGAAACTCAGAATATTTGCTGACACTGTTTACCGTGGCTTTTGCTGGCAGCATTCAAATAATGCTGGGCCTTGGACGACAATGAATTCTCATTTTGTCTCATTTCTTTTTATAACTATTTATAAAATTCTGCTTTATAAATGCTATTGGATTCATAAATCTGATTACTCATATCTCGTTATGTCAGGCACAGCTGACAACCCCCATTCTTACAAATAGAGAGTTTGGAATATAGAGATTTAAAATAAAAGGATTTTATGCTTCAAAACCCTAAAGTCTTAGCGTATATTTGTTAGGATTCCAGCTGGCATATACTGAATGCTAAGGCTGATCGACTCCCAGAGGTTTGTACTGTAAATACAATAGGATAGCGCAGAAGATGTGCTCTACATTGACTTCAGTAAGATTTTTGATAAGGTCCCTCATAGAAGGCTGGTCAAAAAGGTAAAACTCTATGGGATCCAAGACAAAGTAAACTTTGGACATAATGTGCAGAAATAGTTACCATGGTGATGAAGTGCAAGTTAGTCCAAATGCTACCCAATTGGAAGTAAAGCAAGCAAGACCGATAGTGTCAAATAGCGGTAATTCTTCAAAGTTTAACAAACAAGATGATTTTTCTTTTGTTAACAGAAGAGATACTTCAAAAAGATATACCAAATTTCAAAAATACATTCAATGTAAGAACTTTGTAATGTACTTCCTTTTTTCTTTACAAAATTATGTAAACCTACAAAACCTGAGAAGTCTTACGAAAGCATGTGAAAGGCGTCACTGTTTTCTCTGACAGAGTTTCTTCGGTACTTCATGAAATCTCTGAGCGTCACCAGTGGATTTTCATTGATATTTATTTTGTCTCCAGATGCCCAAGTTTCCATAGCAACCAGCACAACCCGTGTATTCAATTGTTCTTTGTAAATCTAAAGCACAAAATGAAAGAATCACAAACAAAATACCTCAGCTATCAGACATGAATCTCCTGTTAGAAATACGTTTTGAATGAATGATTAATGCTCATGTGTACCTCCAGTTATTGGCCACAGTTTGGAGGGGCTATGGTATCTGAGAGGTGGACCAAGGCTTTTAACATAACTTCTTTCTTTAATATGGTTCAGTCGGAACACTTCTCTCTCAGGATAAATATTAGCAACATGTTAAACCCGTGCTTGCTGAAGCAGATTTTCCTCTCTATTTTTTCATGATGGTATAAATATGGACCATTAATTCTTAAATCTCATTGACTAACTTGAAATCCTTGGACTTTGGTTTGAAACAAAAGAAAGAGTTAAAAAGAGCTAGGGCACTTGACCTGACCAGAGTCCAGCTTATAAAAATTTACATAGAAATATCTAAACAGCATGGCTGAGGCTGTCTACCACCACATTGAAAAGGCATTCCAAGAGTTAGTACTTGGATATTAAAATTCATCACCTGGAACGTATAGCTCACAGGGTAACCTTCAAATGGGTCTGGGGATGAGGCTTCTGTACTACAGATACAGCTGGAACAAAGACCATCCTCCGATACCCATTACGCAAAGGGAAAGATTAAAACCATCCATTTGTGCCAAAGGTTAACTGGGGAAAGTGGAATGTCACAGCTCATTGTTAAAAATGGATTGCCCCCATTGTGAGTGAACAGCCAGTGTTCACACATCAAAATGCCTTCCTGTGAGGAGCCATTGTAGGATGTTTTGTCTCTCTCTCTCACTCACACACATCCGCTGCTACAAGTCCAAATATATCACAGGGATAGAAATTTGAAGATCAATGGAACTTCAAGTGCCGTTGCATACACTCTAGGAAAAGAAATGATTGCAGTACAAAGAGATTGTTTTGAGAACAACCAGCTCAGCCACAATGGAAATTTGAAGATCAAAATTGAAAATTAATTTACATTTTTTTGCAGAATTCAAGATGGGTTTTACATTTCTAATAAAGTTTATACTTCTGACCAAGTGAGTTTAGAATAGAACAAACTCTTGCTTTTTGATTTAAGGTATCTGTCTGGCTTTGTCCTTCACAGCTTCACATAGGGTCAAATATAAACTGGATTGAAAAAAGCACATGTAAAAATAAATCAATACTCTGTCATACCTACGCCAGGAGTGAAGAGAGAGGAATTTATTCACTTCATTGGACCTGGCTGTAAGAATTTATAAATTTTAGCCATCTCACCCATTGTTTTAAGTTCACTCAGTCACACACCTTTCATCACCTGATGAGACTTTTTGCAATGGCTCTGACATGAAGATATACAAATCTGCGTCATCAGTATCACTCACATTCCATGGACAAATTAAAACAAAAGCAGCCTCAGCACCTCATTTAAACCTTCCTTGCTTTTGGCACCTTTACTGGCAAAGTGCCAAGACTTGAACAACTCACTAAAAAAGAAACTGGAGTATGTACTCCTGCTTACACTGTGATTTTCTACAGTGGGTATCCAATCACAGCATCACTTTCAGAAGTTTATCTGATCCTACTGTCCTCTCTGGAGTCAAGACAGAGTTTAGTCCTTTAAAATCTTAACATTAAGAATTAAAAATAAGGAAACGGAGGTGAATCTGGTATTTTGCCTCAGATTTCACTACAGAGAATGCAAATAATGTTCCAGTAGCAACAATAAATCAGGAAATGGAAGGGATGCAGAAACGCAGTAACATCAGCAAAGAAACGGTACTGAGTAAACTGTTAGTGCTATAGACTGACAAATGGCTGCGTTCTGATGGATCTCATCCTATAGCCTTAAGAGAAAAGTGGTTAGTGAGATAGTTGATTCAGAGCTAATCCCACTGGTTTGAAAGACAGAAAATGTAACTTTTTTTGCAAAAAAAGTGTGAAAGGTGGAAAGCAAGAATCTACAGGCCGGTTAGCTTAACATCTGGGAAAGGCTACCACTAAAGAGGTTATAGCAGGCAGTTAAATAGTTTCAAGGTAATCAGGTAGCATCGACACGGTTTTGTGAAAGGGAAATCATATTTGGCCAATTGATTGGATTTATTTGAAGCAGTAACACATGTTGGGATATACTATGCTTAGATTTCCAGAAGGCATTTGATGAGGTACCGCATCAAAGGTTATTGCGGAAAATGAAAGGGCATGATGCAGGGGATGACATATGGCATGCATAGAAGGGTGGCTGGCTACAGGAAGTAGGTATAAATGAGTCTTTTTCAGGTTGGCACCATGTAAGTGGTGTTGTGTCACTGGAATCGGTGCTCAGACTCAACTGTACAAACTATACAAATGATTTAGATGAAGTAACAGAAAAATGAGCTTGCGCAATTTGGTGACAATGTAAAGACAGGTAAGTTGTGAAAAGGACATAACAATCCTGCCAAAGGGATATGGGGATCAGTTAGCTGGACAGCTGGATTGTAATGCCTTGTAGTGCCAATAATGTTGATTCAATTCCTGCACTGCCTGAGGTTATCACGAAGGTCTCTTCTTCCTAACCTCTCTGCTCGCCTGAGGCATGGTGACCCTCAGGTTAAACTACCTGGCGTCATTTCTGTTTCATGAGAGAGCAGCCTCATGGTCCAGTGCCTACTGTATAGGTAGGATAGGTGAGTGGGCAAAGATGTGGCAAGCAGAGTACAACGTGAGTGGATTTGTTGGTCACAAATTCTCTGTTTCAGCAGGAAGAATAACAAAATGTCCAAATGGTGAGAGATCATAGAGTGTTGAGTTGCAGAAGGATCTCTGTGCCCTGTACTGGAATCACAATAAGTTAGTCTGCAGGTACAGCAAGTAATTAAGAAAAGGTAATAGAAGGGGAATCTAATACAAAAGTAGCGAGACCGGGCTTCAGTTACACAGAACATTGGTGAGACGGCATCTGGAGTATTGTTCACAGTATTGGTCACCTTATTTAATCAAGGATGCAAGTGCATTGGATACAATTCAGGGAAGGTTTATCAAAGTAATACTTGGAAGAAGAGGGAGTCTTACAAAGAAAGGTTGGACAGAATAGGCTAATATCCTACGGAGTTCAGGAGAGTAAGAGGTGACCTGATTGAAACAAGTAAAACTCTGAGGGGTTTGACAAGATGTGGATGTTTCCTCTTCTGGGCGAATCTAGCACTGGGGTGACTGTTTAAATATCAGTGAAACCGAGTTGAGGTGATTTTTTTTTTCTCAGAGGGTCAACAAGTCTTCGGAACTCTCTTCCTGAAAATATGGTGGAAGGAAAATCCATTAATATCTTTAAGACAGTATAGATAAGTCTTGTTAAGCAAGGGATGGGGTGTGATTGTCAGTAAGAATTCATATTTGAGTTTACAGTAAGATAAACCAGAATCAGATTGAATGGCAGATTAGGCCCAAGAGATTGAATGGCCTCCTCATGCTCTTAATTCAAATGTTCATAAGTATTGTGTCAAAGTAAACATTCTTTACATGGGAACCTTGATATACAATCATTCTAAGCTTGATCTACCCTATGTGTTACTTATATACATACACACAGCACATTTGTAATGTGTTGCACAAATAAGCTTGAAATCAGGTGCAATAATGCTGTACAAAAACAAAGTTGTTGGAAAAGCTCAGCAGGTCTGGTAGCATCTGTGAAGGAAAAAACAGAGTTAACATTTCGGGTCCGGTGACCCTTCCTCAGAACAGGTATAATATCAGGTATAATAAGGTAAAATGTTCTGATGTTGTTGTTATTTTGAAGCAGGTTAACAGGTTCAATACTGACCAATCTTTGAAAGTGGTACTGCCTTGGGTTTAGTATCTTCTCTGAGTGGCCCATTTACCCAGGTACATTATTTTGCATGTGGTATAATTATCAGTTATCGGCATTCAGAAACCAGTGAGATAAAGTACATACAATGACTAAAAATCACTGTTTTCATCTTATCATTTTACCGAGTGTTTCTCACCTCATTACTTCACCAAGCATATGCCTATACCTTGTGTGTACAAGATTATGTGCCAAAGGACAGTGTCTATTATTAATTTTGTTTACATACTAATTAGAAATGCAATTTACTACATTTGGATTCACAATCAACTACATGTAGCCAGGGACTAATCAAATGATCTCTACTGACCAGGGAAAAGGTGATATCATATAATACCTTTGAAGGACTGGCTCACTGAGATTACAAATATACACAGGATTACTTCTGGCCAAATTAAAGGGATGTGCTGCATTTTGTCAAATTGAACACAAACAGCTCGCTGGAGGAGATCACAGATTGAGCCAATTTAAATTGGCGCTGAAAGAAACTGGCTGAAAACCTGAGTTCAAGTTTGAGTTCTGAGGGAGGGGCACCAGACCTAAAACGTTGCTGCCAGACCTGCTGAACTTTTCCAGCAACTTCTGTTTTTGTTCCTGATTTACAGCATCTGTAGTTCTTTCAGTTTTTAAAATTTGATGGCTCCACATTACCAGGCAAAGGGGTAAATCGACATAGAGGGCTCAGAAACTGTGTTTGTCTCATTCATAAGCAGATAGTTAGCAACCCTTACTACAAAGTGACCAACACAGCAACCCTGTTGCCCAATTTAAACATTGTATTTGACTATTATTACACAGGAGGACAGTGATTCATACTGAAGTACTTACAGCATCAGCAAGATTCACAACCGATTTGGCAAAATTGCTTGTAAGTGTAGCAGAATAGTGTCGCTTTGTGAACTGTTGAGCACAAAGATTGAATTTCAATGCACGTGAAATACAAGCAAAACAGACAGAATAAATCACTAAACAAGATGTGGATATTAATTAATTAACAATTCCCACTTTTTAAGAAACATTGAGACACGATTTCCAGTAAATGCTAACCATAAAAAAAAAATCAGTATTTCAGGTAATAATTCAGGAATGCCTTATTTAATGGAGAGAAAATTCTCTCTGACAAACACTGTAATTTAAATGGAACAAAAACAAGTTGCTGGAAAAGCTCAGCAGGTCTGGCAGCATTTGTGAAGAAAAAATCAGAGTTAACGTTTCAAGTCCGGTGACCCTTCCTCAGAAACCTTCCTCACTGGACCCAAAGTGTTCCTGATTTACAGCATCTGCAGTTCTTTCAGTTTTTACTGTAATTTACATGTTTTTTGTTATTTACTAATTTGTCTGCAATGTCAATCTTTACCGAGTTTCCATTCTTAAACATATCAAGGAATATTATTTTATAAGCTTTTATTTAAGATTCCTAGCTGGAATTCTGACTGATTTTGTTGTTTCATTGCAGATTTTGTATTTACCAAAATAAAAATCAGTTTTGCAGAAGCTTGGTGACGGACACTTTTCATTGCCCACAACAAAACGCTATCACATGTGCTTAGTCAAGTTGAAACTATTAGATTTAATACTAACATCTGTTACTTATGACATTCTAAAATGATTATAGTTTGAAGAGTGGATTTATTTCGAAATAATCAGATTTCAAGACCTGCATGAATTTATAAAATAATGGGATTAGCAGAGAATATCAATATAGAGTTGTCCAACACATTAGGGAGTTGGGAAATAGCCTTTGTTAATATCAATGACTGGAATCTAAATACATTTATGCAACATTCCTCTGTTTTTTTTATACATGGGTTAGTTAATGCTGTTTTTGAAATAGTGGAAATGGGTCATATGATTCCATCAAGCTGTCTGCTATTATTATCAGTTGCACTTTACATGTCATTTTGTTTTGAAACTGCCACTTTTTCAACAAAAGAAAAGGCCTAATCTATTTCCAATATCCAGAGGGCCTGATTTACACCACAACTAGGACAACTATCATCTAAAGACAGTCTGCAAATGTTGTGAAAACTGTAGCAGTATTTGACGAACCAATTTAAAATTAAACATGGTTAACGCACCAGGGTGTAGTCATTGACAACCATCAGCTCAATGTACTTGGTTTCTCTCAGAACAGTGTGAGGGCCTCGATGTACCTACAAATGGAAGAGAATCAGAAGACATTTGACATGTTAAACCCCGTCTATAACTTTATAGGATGGTAAAAGGAAACCAAGGGAATTCACCAATAGTAAGCTGCAGAGGCAGAAGTCTTCCAGCAACAGGAAGGCTGACATCACAAGGAAAGTTAAGCTCAGCTCAGCTGGGCAGCTGTGGAATGAGTGAAAACTCACTGTATTCCATCACTTACAATATTCTGACCGAATAACAAGGAGTGTTACAACTGATTAAAATATGAAACTGAAGAGGGAACTAAAGAGAAAACCATCTCTTTAAACAGTGTTAGGTTCCTGCAGGTAGGGCCTCACTGGGAACTCAGTACGATTAGGAGACAGAGTGATTATGGAAGTCAGCATTTCAAAATATCAGGTGGGGGAATGGTGGGAGAATGTCCTTGGAAATATGGAAGGCATGATATTAATATGGAATTAAATTTTTGATTTATATCTATTTGAGGAAATCCTTTGTCTGTCTGATCCTTTTCTCCATAAGGCCTCCTTCCCCCAAGGAGGCTCTTTCTTCCAAAAGGGGCCCATTTAATTGCCCCAGCAGCTCAGCTTAATGTGCTTTTCCCCCACTCACTGTTGCCACTTGCTGTTGGAGGTCCTGGACAACTGCTCGAGATACCCTGCTCAGTGCCGCTCCTTATCATCGCCATCCTGCTTCTGCAGCTTCCATCATACCTGACTTCTTATAATCTAACTGAACCTCAAATAAATTTATGTCTCCCTGGTGTTCTGGGGAAGAGAATTCCACAGATTAACAACTCAGAGAAAAAAGTCTTATCTCTGTGTTAAAAGTGAAATCTTGTATTCTAAAGTTGTGTCCCTAGTTCTTGTCTCTTCTACAATGGCAAACATTCATTCAGCTTCCAGCTTAGATTACCCCCAATATTCAAGGATAAAAACTCAAACTGTTCAACCTTTCTCCATTAGCCCCGTTTTTCCCCTCCTTTCTTCCATGGGATGTGGGCATCTCAGGCAAGGCTGGCATATGTTGTCCATCTCTAATTGCCTTTGAACTAAGTGGCTTGCTAGGCCATTGCAGAGGACACTTAGTGTCATCCACAAAGGGTCTGGAGTCATATGGAGGCTCAGGTGTAGGAGCCATGTCATTTTTGCAATAATTGATGATAGTTTAATGGTACTCCATCTGAGACTACCTTTACATACCACAGATACAAACTGAATTTAAGTTCCACCACCTGTTGTGGTAGGATTTGAACCTTCAACCCTTAAGCATTAGCCTGGCCCTCTGCATTACCATTCCAGTGACAGTACCAGAACAACAGTGTAAGCCCCTTGCTCATCCAAGATTGAGTCAAGAGAACCTTCTCCGAACTGCTTTTTATTTTTGAAATAAGGAGATTGAAATTGTACACAGAGCTCCAGATGTGGTCTCACCAATTACGAACCAGTTAAATTTCCCTAATTTTACACTTCATTCCCTTTGAAATGAACTCAAATATTCAATTTGTCTTGCTAACTACTTGCTGCACCCGCTAACCAACTTTGAGAGATTCACATACCAGGACATCCAGATCCCTCTTGTTTTCAGAGTTCTGTAAACTCCAAAACTCCCTCCATTTAAATATACTGCTGTTCTATTCTTTCTGTCAAAACGGATACATTCACAGTTTCCCACATTATATACTCCACTTGCTGAATTTCATCCACTCATTTAACTTGTATATACCCCTCTGCAGATGGCCTACCTCCTCACTCGCCACAAATAGATTGTAAACATTTGAGGTCCCAGAACTAATTCCTGTGGCATTCCATAAAAATATACTCATAAATTTGATAAGCATAATTTCTCTTTTATAAAACTCATTCAAAAAGTAGGGTGGTATCTGGATTAGCACGTGGAAGTGGAGTGGTTACAATTCCAAGTTTGATGCTTAGATTTCTGGAGAATTGCTCTAATAGTTAACCCTTAGTGGTGTAATCCCTGTTGACGGTATTACTAGATGAGATAGAGCCCCAAATAAAATCTGATTTTATAGATCCTCTTTTTTTTAAGTTTATTCAATTAACAAGGTGGTTACTCAATGAAACATAATCACAAGCCTGTAGATGTTCTCTAACAATAGAGTGAGTATACACAAACAAACCTGCAATCAGTTAGAAAGATCTTAACACAAACATTAAAACTAAGATTCCGCCATTTTCTCGACGCTATCCATTACAAAGATTCAAGCCCAGAAAAATTATACTCCTATCTCAACCCTAAGTTTTTATTCAACTGATACATTCCAGATTCTCTTCTTTGAAATGTACCGACAATTTTACAATTCCTCTCAGAGCCTCATTGTATGAGCTTTTCACAATTCCGATGGCCTACACTTCTTCAATTCTAACAACCTTAAGATTTCTAATCTAGAACTCCCATGGCTTGGAATATTTCACAAACGAGCAAAAAATCACTGCTGTTGCAGTGACTGGTCTGAATTGATATCTCTTGCCGGGACAGAAAATTAAACTTGTTTCTGAACTCAACTCTCTTCTCAACTAAACATCTGGTAATTTCTGGTGAACTGGTGTTTTCAGTTGTCACAACAGGTGAATCCAGCGCCATCTCCCAATTAACAGACTGCGAAGACGTTACAATTACCTGTCGTTTGGTTCGTGTCCTTGGGACTCCTGGAGGAGAGTTCTGTTGCATGTTGTCATCAGTAAAGCACCCTAATAGGATACACAATGAAAAAATATGTAAACGTATTGTCACTGTGTGAAACGTAGACATAACATTTCAGAACTGGATGAATTCTTCTCACAGACAATGGAAAATAAAAGAGCTAACAAACACAACTGTCTTGTTTCTGAGAGGCCCAGTACTGACTGCATTGCTGTAAGCTAGCTCCGACTGCTTTTAGTAGTAATGCTTTATATATATTGGACCAATAACTTAGTTTAGCATTTCATTGGTCTCCTTTCTTTATCTTCTTACTGCAGAGAATTTTCTCCCTTCATCTATTACTTGGTTGTCTGTTCAAAGAGAGTTTCAATATGAAAATTTTAATGGTGACGAACACTACTGTCTTCAAAGAGTTAAATGGGTCACACATTTAGGAATAATTAGAGAGCGAGATTTGGATACTTCTAAAAATATTTTCCATGATCAGAATATTTTTGTTGGGGTAAACATAACAGGAATCATTTTAACCTTGTGCGATTGTATAAAGAGGATAATAGTGATTCACCATTTTGTTTTCATTGAATGGAAGTAAAAAACAGGCCTCCTGACCTATTTTAGAATTAGCACAAAGTTAAGATCTGACCTAATGAGTGATTGGAAATGAAATGCCACCCAATCATCTTGCCACTGCTGTGTTTTGAATTTTCACTTGAATGCTGGCAGATTGGTTCACAGAGACACAGGATCGAGGAGGTCTACACTCCTCTGTTACGTGGAGGTAGAGAATATACCATTGAAGAGTTTCCACAGAAGAGGCACTGTTCCTAGTTAGCATGACAGTAGGAAGAACAACTACATTACTCTTCGGGCATAACTACTCAGACTCTTGGGATCCATACAAATACATCTGTCCCTCTCGAGGCTAGCGTACAGCTTACTGTCTCCACTGATAAACTGGAGCAGGAACATTCACACATTCAGAACCATCACCTCATACAGTGTCTCCCCCAGCTATTTTCCCCATAGTTATTATACATTTGCACATATTATCCTATCTCAATCCCCAGTTTCTGACTTCAGAATATTCCCAGAATGCACACTGTTCAGACTCAGAAGATTAGTATGTCTTCACCTTGAGGACTTTTGAACATGGTTCTGATCACTTTTGGAGGATCCTTGTCTCTGAGATATCCTTTGTGGAGGAAATCATTCATTATAGACTTTGGTGCTGGATCATTTGTTGCTCTGGAGGATTCTCAATCTTCTGAATTTCGTTTGCAGAGGAACTTGTCTCTGTGAACTGAGGTAGTAGATCCATTATATCATCTGGGGGACACTTAAACCCATGAATATCCATCATGGGAGATGGCTGCTCCATGAAACAAGCATTTTATGCTTTGTAGCAGACTAGATTTTGGACTGGACAATATCTAATGAGAAGAGGTCGTCTCTTTTTCAGAATATTCTAAATGCTCACACCAGGCAGTTCCCTCTTCTCAATGACGTCGTGAATCTGCAGACATTAAATCTCATGACATATATCACAGTTTCTTCCCCTCAGTTATTGATCAGGCTGGATATCTTCAGTTGCCCTGTGATTGTTTGACTGGTGAAGTAGATTTTTCAAACTCCCCAGCTTGTTACGAAAAGATGGCTACTCATTTGAGACTATTTCTGTTAGAGACATTGACCGTTTTAGAAGACAGAGAATTGTACATTTCCATCGGCCCTACAAAGTCTCTTGACTTCCCCAATGTTAACAATATTAAACAGCTCTATGCTAACAAAAGTAATCTCACTGGATCTTTTTCTTCTGTGGGTTCTGCTAAGAATCTAGGAAGCCCAATGGAGAATTCCACCAGTTGCTCCATGACCATTTCCATCTAGAAGCACAAGGGCAGCAGATACATGGAAACACCACCACTTGCAAGTTCCCCTCCAAGTCACTCACTATCTCGACTTAGAAATACATCACTGTTCCTTCACTGTTGCTGGGTAAAATTCCTGGAATTCCCTCCCTAAAGGCATTGTGGGTCTACCTACAGCACACAGACTGCAATGGTTCAAGGCGGCAGCTCACCACCACCTTCTCAAGGGCAACTAGGGGTGGGCAATGAATGCTGGCCAGCCAGCAATGTCCACATCCCACAAATGAACAAAGAAACAAAAAAAAACAAAAAAAAACACATTGTATTTCTGAACCAGTTGTTCTCTGGGATAGGGGCTCTCTCATGCTTCAGTTGTTTTGATAATCTGAGATCAAGAACTATGTAGGCTCAAAAGTGAAGATTTTTGATCACATACAACATACAAATCTTCAACTCTCTTATGTACGTTGCAATGTGACTTGTAGCATTCTCTTGACAGTTATTCCACTTGTGTTAGGTGGTCTCATTTCTGTAGGCTGTACCTTCTGCTTCTTCAGCTATGGTAATTAGTCTGACAAGACAGCAACACTTGCCCATGTACCAAACTTAAAATCAACAGGATGCCCATTGGCATAAATAGGTTCTGTCTATGGTGTGTGTGTCCACCAATACTTGTGGTGTGACAAAAATATAAACGGTCTGGCTGCATCTATGCAGAAAAAGCAGAGTTGGACCTAAAAAATGTTAGCTCTGCTTTTTCTCCACAAATGCTACCAGACCGTTTACGTTTTCTCCAGCAATTTCTGCTTTTGTTTCAGATTTTCAGCATCCACAGTTGTTCATTTTCTTTTAATACTTAGGGTGTTCTGAAATTGTGTCTTACTTCCGTACGTCTTCTGGAAGTAGTGTACAGATTTACAAACGTTGCATCCCTTTGTGGTAGCTGGGCATTATCAGTGCTTGAGAGGCCTGCTGTCCCACAGTGCCAACACTGCTTCTTAGCATGTGTTACTAGCTTGTGCATTGACTTGTCATGTGCCAGGTCTATTCCTTCTAAAGTAAATATCCATTCTGAGGCTTGGTTGGCCTTCTTTTGCAGGAGAGTGCATCTGACAGTTTTCCTGGTTTATACTTCCAGCAGAACTTGAATAGCTTTCCCCAAAGTTAGATAATCCTTGGACTGTAAGAAATTTGACAATGTTTCATCAAGAATTCCAACAAAATTCCATTAAATATGAATTCTGATTTCAAATATACATGTGACAATTTCTCATGAGTCCAGAAAGATAACGCATTAAATTGTCCATAGATTCCCCTAGAAGATCAACTCTTCTGTTAAATCCTCTTCTTTCAAGGGTTTTATTTCTTATATTGAAGTAATTTCCAAAAGTTTTTAGGACATCTTCAAAAAGGATCTGTGCTCTCTTCGATGTTCTGTCAATTAATAAAATCATCTGCAATTGGCTCCACTAAAAATATCTGTGCATTAACTTGCACAGCTTCAGACCTAGTATTTAATTTTGAGGCCAAGATGTGTCTTGAGAACTGTCACCTCCCCAGTGTCCAATTTTTCATTCTGTGTGGCCCTTCTCTGACCTTGCAACTTTTGTGGAAGTTTTTTCAAATTTCTTCTCAATGTTTTTCTTAATTCATATTACTGTGGTGCTGTTTTGAATCTGTATCACCTCGATACTGCTTATAATCTTTGTCAATCATATATTCTTATCTTCATCAACACTGTTTAAAATTAAATTACTATAGAACTTGCTTTACTATTTATTTGCTGGCCTTTTTAAATGCTGCATTGCAGTAATTCTATATTAAATTCTTTAAGTTTTAAATTCAATAACCAAAAGTTTTAACGTAATTTACTTTCAACTATTAAACACTTTATTGGTAATACTGTATTCCCACACCGCTAACTAGGTCTTCTCACCATTTTTAGGTATTTTCCTCCTTTTTAACAATCAAAGTGGTGACTTCCTATCTTTTCCTGGATTTTCATGATTCTTGTAAACAAGGGGGAGTTTTCCCATTTCTTCCTGGGTGAAAAGAATGTTTTCTCACCCGTCATGGCCTAAAACACTGAAGTGTTTCTTCGGCGTAATTTAAAAAAAATAAAAGTTATAAATCTTCCTGCCAAATGAACAATTCAATTATTATAACCCAGTCATTTTAAGTTTTTAATCTCTCCTGACATTTCTTCTTCTGCTCGAATCTTTCACTAGATTCATCTACATTTGCTCTTTGCGTTCTTAAATAAATTCAGAGGTTTTCCCAATTCTGCAGAGTCTGTGCAAATTCATTCTCCGGCCTTTCATTGTTTTTGTACAGCTACACGTCATAGAGCCTAATCTTGATGGAAGGGATGTTCACTGTGTGAGGGGAGAACTCATCACCACTTTACCTCCTTTTCTAGTCTTTGGATTATATTCATAATTTAGCCCCTTTCCCTTATGAATATCAAAGTTTTACTCCTGGAGCCTTCTCTTGCTTCCCATAGCACCTCCCTTGCTAAGACTGTTGAAGGTTTGTCTTTGGGGTTCTGAGCTTGCTCTGTCACTAATTTCCTAGTTGCCGTAGCCTCTCGCAGTTGGTCATAATATTTCAGCTGCTGCTGACCTGTGTTCTTAAAGTCATAATGCTCTTAAAAGTGGTAAACACATTTGTCTTAGAAATTTTATTTTCTGGATCATCCCCTCATCATGAGGGTTTCTGCAAAGAATTCTAGTCTATGCTGCTGCTCACAATGTGGTGTTGTCCTGACTGACACGATGAATGCCTTTTGAAATGTGCCGCCTTTTTCAGGACGTCATTTAGAGTGAAGGGTTGTTTTCGGTAGTTCACCGATTCGTTGTCCATAAAGTTTAGGGTCTATCTGGTGATCATTTGTAGAGGATACAGCACCATGGATATTTACAGAAAAGGCACTGTTCTTGGTCAGCAAGACAATTTATTGCATGACAGCAATAAAAGCAACCTACATTACTAGTCAGGCATAATTACTTTGATTGTCAAGAGCTGTACTGAATACATTTTCTCCCTATACAGTCTAGAGCTCATGGTTTTCACCCACAGACTGTGACATATCAATAGAAATGATGACACCCAACATAATCGGAACATAAATTCTTTCCAAACCATTACCTTATACAACATGTCCTACAGCACCATCCCAGTTCTTTCACTGCAAGTATTTTTGCTTTATCCAACTGAACCCAATGCTCTAATTTTTTAAAAAAAACTTCCTACCCCGAGTTAGTAGGAACTGCCAATGCTGGAGGATATGAGATAACAAGGTGTAGAGCTGGATGAACACAGCATGCCAAGC